CATAGAAACAAAAATGATTTTTTAATTAACCGCTTAACCATCCAAAAGTATATGCTAGCAAAAGTTTAATGCCATTGTCTTTTCAAATATTTTTAAGTTTCATAAAACAGGCTTAAAGTGACTAGTTTGACCAATGGGATCAAAGTAAAGCAAAAACTTGGCGTTCCCAAATTGCATTAATAATTTAATCGATACGATGTATATAAAAGACGGGCACGCCAAGTTTTTGTTTTACTTTGATCCCATTGGTCAAAATAGTCACTTTAAGCCTGTTTTATGAAACTTAAAAATATTTAAAAAGACAATTAAACTTTTGCTAGCATATACTTTTGGATGGTTAAGCGGTTAATTAAAAAATCATTTTTGTTTCTATGTCTAATCAATACTTGGCAGTTTGTATAATCTCATATTTGTTTTTGGACAATTTTTATTTGTTAACATAATATTTAGGTTTAGGAAAGATGTAAGGTACAATATTTTTTTATATACTTGGCGTAATTTTTTTCTTTTTGTTAAAAGAGTTTTGGTAAGTATTTACTTTTGTAAAGTCTTTTTTATAAAATTGTAAATTTGACGCCAGTTGTTGATATCAAATCTTTTGGATAAATGATATATTATTTTTTTACATATCACTTGCGTTTTATTAAATCAGAATTGAAGATAGCACCGCTTAGGTCTTATTTTTTAATTTAATACAACAGTTTTTTCTCGAAAAGCACGTACTTTTAGCGCCTTTTTTAAACCTTTTTTTAAAAAGATAATTATGAACTGATTGTACTGATATCATGCATTTTGTCAGGCATCAAATTCAAAGTACTTAAGTTTTATTTTTTAGTTTAGTTACATACATACGTTACGTTATATATGACGTATGTGAAATTATACATAAATATAATATTAACGTGGTATACGATATGTGTACATATCCTCTATTTTATATCATATAAGAATACATATTATATCTAATTTAAGTTTACATTAGTACTACATGACGAAAGAGTAGTAATGTATTATATTTATGTATACGTCATATAGTATATTGTTGCGCTCGTACGTGGAGAAAACACGAACGCGCACTCTGATGCTCACGCGGTCACGATCGCGGCGCGGGAAGTCACGCACTCGCGTAACGCATTCGCGGAGAAATGAAGGAACACTCTTTTGAACGAACGAGAAAGAAAAAACTATTTATTGCGACTTGTTACAAGATAATCGTATGTACTTTCAAATCTCCGTTCGAAACTTGACAAGCCATCAAACAATTTCGTTGTCAAAAGTCGCTCCTTTTCTGTCGCTCTTCCAGACGATCGATAACGAGAGCATCGAGACATTATGGCGAGAGCCGCGCCAGAAACGGGCACAACAATATTTTAAGTTCTTATTGGGAGTATCACTTGGTTAAACTACGTTTAATATACCATATTGATTTTATTAATTAAGTACGTTAATATGCTATTTAATTGTTATACAATTTAATATACCATGTTAACTTTAAGAATTAAGTTAATATAATAAATTAAATTGCTAAGGTATTTACATGTAATGTCAACAATAATTAAATGTATTGGAAGACCGGAAATATTAATTACCACCAATAAAATTTAGATATCTTAGATGTGGTTAAGAAATAATTATTATAATAATTAATAAATATAACGTAAGTAATTATTATAATAATTATTCCTTAACCACATCTAATAAGAAGAGGCTCAGATGTGGTAATTTTAAAAAATTCTGAAACTTATGGTATGTGAAGGGTTATCACTTAGATATTATTTTGGTCAAGCAGAAAGACGCACTTTTCAGCCAATGTCGAGAAAAAATTTTTTATTTTATTTTAATATTTATGTTGATTTCTATTTAAAATTAATCAAATTTATAGTAATCAACGGATATTCAATATAAATATATGAAAAACGCACATTTTATTTATAATAACGAAAACCTGCGATAAATATCCAATGCAACGAGAGTAAACAAATTAAACCAACGTAATGAGAATCTGAAATAAAGTATTTTTGTGATTTTAAAGATTAGGAAAAAATTGAATATACAAATAATGTATAATATTATTTATTCTTTAATTGATATTGGTCACTGTATATCGTACAATCTTTCATACGTTTATAGGTATCGCATGAGCATACGTGTTATTTGCCATCAATAGCCTCAAAAAACCTTGTGCATGTAACAAAGCTGTATTTATAATGTAATCTATGTGTTGTAAAACGTTGTGTTTCCCCTGCTTTTTTGACAAATATCATTCAGGCTCATGCGATACTTATAAAGCTGACGTATGAAAGATTGTACGATATACAGTGACCAATACCAATTAAAGAATAAATAATATTACACATTATTTGTATTTTATTCCTATTTTATTCCTATTTCTATTTTTTTTCCTAATCTTCAAAATCACAAAAATACTTTATTTCGGATCCTTGTTGGGTTTGATTTGCTTGCTCTCATTGCATTATTGGGTTTTATTTATCGCAGGTTTTCGTTACATTGTAAATGAAATGTGCGTTTTTAATATATTTATATTGGATATCTGTTGATTACTATGATTAATTTTAAATAGAATTGATATAAATATTAAAATAAAAAAAATTTTTTTCTCAACATTGGCTGAAAAGTGCATCTTACTGCTTGGCCAAAATAATGTCTAAGTGATATATTTCATGTACCATAAGTTTCAAATTTTTCTAAAATTACCACGTCTGAGCCTCTTCTTGTAAAATACCTAAAACCTGTTGATTGTATTTAAAATTTCCGGTATTTCTTCCAATACATCTAATAATTCTTGACATTACTTGTAAATAACATTCAGCAAATTAATAATACAATATATACTACCTATAAATAAGATATATGTTGTATCTGTGTTGTATTATATGTTGTAGGTTTTTAGTCTAGTAGTACATACGAGGGTCATTTGAAAAGTTTCCGGCCTTTTTAAGAAAAACACATATTTCGAAGCAAAACAAAATTTATTTCTCGACGTATTCTCCCTGCAACTCGATACATTTGGTTCAATGTTTCTCCCATCCTTTTAAACCGTCAGAAAAAAATTGATGTCTAAACCTGAAAAATATTGATTTGACAGCGTTTTCCACCTCAGCATTTGACTTATATTTTTTTCCCCCGAGAAATTTTTTCAAATTTGGAAACAGGAAAAAGTCATACAGGCTAAGACACTCGCGCGACATGTCCATCCGTATGCGCTTTTGGTCGATCGTCAACAAGCGCGGCACCCAGCGCGCGGATAATTTTCTCATATCCAATTCTTGATGTAAAATCTTGTGCACCCGTTCAGATGATATCCCACAAGCCTCA